TGGTCAAACTTTTTCGTTTTCCAAAACGTTTATCTATTGATTTTCAGACAAATTTGTTATATATTTTCGTTATCTGTAATTTTTGTTTAAAATACAATTACATTATGGGTTTGTTTAAATTAAAAAACCCAATTAGTTATGGTAGAAATCCAAAACTTACCTTATAATTTATCTTTATATATCTATTATATTTTAACATAGAGATATACTTCATTGCCTTAGTCATTAATAATTGGGCCTTTTACGAGTTAGATAGATTTTTAAAATTCGGAATTAAAATACTCTTCCAATTATAAAAAAAAAAAAAATTATATATGAGTTTGCTATTAAGAATAAGTTCAATTTTTTAATTAAATTAACTTTTTGTTGATAAATTTAAGAATATACTTTTCCATATTTAAATTTTTGCACAAGATCTGAAGTTGCATAATTAAAGTAAAGAATGTTCCGACTAATATACCATAAACGAACTGGGTACATAAAACTCATTTTATTTTACATTAAAAATTAATTATAAAGCTATGCTGCAACCATGGAATTTTAGGAAGTTAACATATAAAGACGAGATCTAAAGTTTTGATGAGTTATTGGGCTGGGTTAAAAGCCCAGAAATGATGGGTGGTCAACTCTAAATAAGCCCACCTTACACCTATTTCTTATCCTACGATTGAATTTGTCATTAAAAAAAAAAGAATAAAAAAATGAAATTAAATTAACCAACGGTCACGATCAAACTTTAACTTGATTCATCTAAAACCTAGGCTCAAATGAACGAGGTTATCTATTAATTGTCAACTTAATTTTAATGTTATTCTTAAATTATAATGACACTCTATATTACTGTAATGCCCCGTTTTTTTTTTTTTAACAGCGCAGTCTGAAACAACTCCATGACCAAATACGAGAATTTCATTCCAAATCAATCATACACATAAAAACCTTACCGCAATCTATTATTCAAAATCAAGATAAACTTGCAACCCTACATGTACATCACAGAGAAATACAATCTTATACACTTCCAGCAGGCACTATCTACACTACTACTAATTTTTACACACTCTATTCTGCCCACAAAAAGAATCCTTACTTTGTTGCACTATATACTAGGCTCAAAAACCAGCAACTCCGATTTCGGCTCTATCTCTACTTCATTTGTGAATGATAAAAGTATATATAACTCAATACAGTAAAAATTAAGTTACAAGTATCATATGCAATAACAGAAAACTCAGAATTTCTATATGTACTCTATTTGCACAACCTAAGCCATACCTTAATACCACCCCAGGACTATTCAAGACTAACTTACTTTGGTAATTTAGTTATATTGCATATCAAATGTGACCGTCTTCCGACGTCACTCCAATTGTACAAATGTTCTCACCCGTCACCAATATCGGCAACCAACAATCAATTTTCTATCTCTCAACCCCTAATAGGCCACACACACACACAGAGATACAATTCTCTCACGTAATCAATATCGGCGACCCAACCCCTTGCTCGTCGGAGTCTCTCGACCATCACCACTATTGGCGATCAACTTACTCTTTCTAGGTAGCAACAACCAATATCTGCGTCCTCCCAATGCTACTAACTCAAGAGCCATATCATCCCGTTCTCGCTTCACTATGTTGTCCTGAAGCTCTCCTATACCTTTAACTTGTATATCGAACCTACACGCATCTCCCCATAGGACACACACT